CCAACAAGAGGGCGTTGCGAGAGAACAGTTCTTCTGCCGCTTCTTCCTCCGGCGGCGCCATGAGGTACCGCGGAGTCAGGCGCAGGCCGTGGGGTCGTTACGCAGCAGAGATTAGAGACCCTCAGTCGAAGGAGCGCCGCTGGCTAGGCACCTTCGACACGGCGGAGGAAGCGGCCTGTGCCTATGACTGCGCCGCCCGTGCCATGCGTGGCTTTAAGGCTCGAACTAACTTTGTTTACCCAGCTTCACCACCTTCTCCCGCCACCGAATTTTGTCCCTTTAATTTCCCGAAATACCCTTACCCGCAACAACAGCAACAACAACACTTGAGCAAAATTTCACCATGTTCTGCTTCAACTACCCAACAACAGCGAAACCCTTCTTCTTCTCTTAACATGCTTCTCTTTCGTGACTTGCTCAACTCTTCCTCTGCTCATCATTTTCACAACTACAACAACAATGTAACTTCTTCTTCAACCCCATTTGTTAACACTTATGCAAATACCATCAGTGTAAATGCTAATAACAGCACTTGCGGGGTTGTTGAAAACTGTTATGATAACAAAGCTGCTGTAGCTGATGATGAAAATGACGACTTGGAAATTTCCGACTCTGGATTATTAGAAGATATAGTTCATAAGTTCTTGCCAAAATCCAAGGCTAAAAAAATTGAGACTCCTGAGAAAATTACTGATACTAATTTCCGCAACCCAGCTTGTTCTGATAATATGTTCCTTCCCAATACTCAGTGCTATGAAGAGATGACGAGGGAGATTCCCATGAACAATGATTTTGGTGGGGTTTCTTCTTTTGAATATCGCCAAGGTTTTCCCATGCAGCAATTTGGAACATTCAACAATGGGTTTAATGTTAATGCCGTTCATTCTGTACCTCCTCTTGGTAATGACCAAGTCATGATGAATCATACAGAATACTCTACTACAATCATGGAAGATGTTTTTCAGTATCCAGAATTTCTCAATTCTTTTGCACTCAGGATGCAAAATGCTTAGTTTATTTATAATATTTATCTGTCTCTTTAAACTTTTAGTATATAGGTGAAAATGTAACAAGTTTAGTGTTTGCTTTTTGTTGTTTAACCTATCATCTATCACTATCTTAATTATGTATGTACTATGTAGCCATGTTGTTGATATTGGTCTTTCACGAAGAAACTGATGTTTTTAGGGTTTGGTTAGTTTGTCCTATATCTAACTTACTGTGTACTCTGCATCTAGCAGCTACCATGAATTAAAAGTAATAGAATTTAATATTGCTATCAATTAATGCCTTATGTTAAGCACGCGAAATAACCTTTTCATACTACTTTATGCTTTGTGTTTGTATGTTTGTTTGTTTATGTGATTGCTTTGTTGTTATCTGATCTGAGATGTAGAAAGTTAATGAAAAGGTGGGGTTCATGAGAACGACATATTCAGAGTAAAGTTAATTCTTTACCTTGTGTTTCAATTGCTGAATAATGATAGCTTCTGCGTTGACCTTGGAACTAGCACAGTTTGTTTCTGTTGCACACCTTTTTTCTTTCTTTCTGCTTTGTATGTATGGATCTGAATTTTACTTCTCATTTGTATTGGTGGGAGTTATTGAGTAATTGCCGGTTGTGTTGTCGTTTTCTTCTTGGTGTTTGTTGCATTTGGTTGTTGCGGATTGTCATTAAGGTATAGAGAGAAACCCTAGGGAATAACTAGAATTAGAGAGAGTATGTTCTGGGAAAAAGTGTGTTAATTTATGGAAGAGGCGGCAATAGCTGCCAGGGTGAGGATTTTCAGTTACACGACAAAAAACTATGTACATTCAAATTACTTTCATAATGGCCTAAAAACTAAAAACAAAACAGAAGACATACCATTGTAATTTTACTTGAATTTTAATGAAGTTCTAGTCTAGTTTTGTGAGTTTTGGATTCAGTCACCACCTAAGTGCTATACCTAAATAAATAAATAAATATATATATATATATATATATATATATATATATATATTATGAGTCATTTGGTCTCAAATTTTGATCAAGGGACGAAATATAATATTTATGATTAGCTAGTTGATATATATAAGAAAGTATACAATATATACTTATATAGGATAGTTGTTATGCTACTTATCCATAAAAATTGATAACTAACATTAAGGTACTTGTTTGAGGGAAGATACTTTGGAAAACCAAAAGAGATTAATTTATGTCATGGGATTTACTTGAAAATAATAAATTAGTTGGTAAAAAATATGCAGTACAGATTATATAACTATATTAAATCTGGGGTGGTTTATGTACTACAATTAATCTCCTTTTGTCTAAGGTTAATTAGAGTTTTCAGATTCACCAAGTAGATTTTTGATTGGCTCTATCAATTCAAAATAAGAGGACCCATCTGAGTTTTTGGTATTGTTTTCAAGTTCTTTGTTAAATTTACTGAACATTTTGTTGTTTGTGGCATTTCACATGTACTTTGACCTCTCACGTCTCATTAAATGGATTTTGCATGCTTCTATGGAAAGGGCTTGGTTTCAAAATCCTCCTGACTTATTGTAGCATATATTTTTGAATAAAAGCTTACCCTTAAAAAAACTAAAATCAATCTTTTTATGGAAATATTCACAAAAAGTCCCTTAAACTTTATGACCGTAAACTATTTAATTGATGCACATAAAATTATGAACATATAGATTTACCATTTTGGAGTAAGTTAAAATGTGTTACTAGAAACAAATTAAAAAAAATGCTACAATTGTCTTTGTTAAATACGATTAAATAAAATAAAAAATATACAAAAAAAGTATTCCTAAATAGAGCCCGTTAATGGTCACTATTTTATGTAAACCAAGTTGACAAGGAAATGATAATTCCGTAGGCAACAAAAAATAGTACAAAAGTCTCAGTAATAAAAATATAAAGAAAAGTCTTTGGAGCAAGTCATGAGTTATATAAATTCATTATTTAAAAAGCTAAATCGTGAAACACATATCCATGATTTGTATAAAAAAAATTAAAAGTAAAGAGACCCAAAGGCGAATTATGGTTGAAAGCACCACTTACCCAAATTTGTTGTGTAGAATTTTGTTGAAGGTATAAACCATTTATAAAAAAAATAAAAACTAAAATTGTGTATATGGATCTAGATTTTTTATAAAAAATTTAAAAAGGTAACTCGTACATGCAAATTATAAATTTTGTAAAAAAAATTAGAAAGAAAATAGTGGATTTACAAAAAAGTTATAACATTCCTAATATTTGTAAAAGTTATACCAAAATGTTAAATACGAAATCAAAATGTACTGCTTGTATAAAATTTCCAAGAGAAGGCGTTACAATGAGAGAAAAATTACGTAGTATATCTTGCAAGCTAGTTTTATCATATTAGAGGGGCTAATCTCTCTAACTTTGTTTCTTATTTACAAGTATATCTTGTTCTGATAATAATAAATGTAGTGTCGTGATTTTTATAAAAAGCTCAACTAAGTTATAACAACCATATTGACAATACAATAACCCTTCACAAAGAATGAATGTTATAACTTATAAGGGAAAAAGGTGATCAGTGTAACTATTTTCTCGTCCCTCCATCTGGAACTATTCAGAATGAAAAAGAGTGGTGAGGTGAGGTCCTATAACTATTATGTTTTGATTGCCATCTTCTAGGAAAATGTGAGAAAATGATATGATACAAAAGAGAGATTTTTATCTCTAGTGCAAATGATAATAAAACAAAAACAATAATAAAATAAAACTTTAAAATTGTTAACTAACATGTCATGATTTTATTGGCATGAGACGCATGAGACATGATATGAGATATCAGAATTTTTTTCCTAATATCCTCCTCCATCCTTTATTTGTAATTTTAAGATGGGTAAAAATGAAGTTGAAGGATTTTCTATTCATGGTTCCAACAAACTTTGGGTCCTTTCATGGGATGTAAAGAGAAGGAAGAGAGAACAAAGAAAATTTTCTTTTTACTGAAACCCTACAAATGTACATGGTCTCTTCATTCCTTTACATACATTATATTTCATATTTTTTTTCTTTAATAAAACCAAACAACAGTAATGAAATCACTATCTCATTTTGGTAGGGTGATACCAAACAAGTAGAGTGATTACTTCTGAAGCTTCTCTCTTTAGTCTCTACTACTTTACACTTTACAATATCTCATCAATAAGGATATGGGTGAAAATTAAAATGAGAAGAAAAAAATAGTACAATTCCTGTGTACATAAACAAACTATCCTCATTTATAGGGAGAACTAGATTGAGCAAACTGAGTCTGTTAGGTTTTACTATCATTCTTTTACTTCCATGTTACCCATAAAATAAAATAAAATGCTAATTTAATCTCTGCTTCAATAAAGCATTTGCCTCTGCAATTGGTAGTGTTGGCCAGAATTTGTTCCTTATACACCCGGCAAGAAAGAAAATAACCAGAAGAGACTACGACAAGAAGGTTAAAAACAATAAATTAAAGGTAAAGAAAGAAACTACCTAAGAGTTGAGAACAATAAATTATTAGATCCCATTTCATTGCAACGATCTATCATTCCAGGCCCCCATCTGCATTTAGAGTATGATGGTACCCAGTTTTCATAAAATAGGTTTGCCCTATCCACATAAATTGTCCATATTTGTCTTTCACTCTTGTCTTTATTTATGATACCCACTGTCTCATATACTAACTATATTAATGCAGAAGCATACCGTAGTATATAGATATATATATGTCCTTACGTGGGAACCAGACAACTTTTTGTGTGTGCCTGTACAGTGTCCTCCAAATTAAATATAATTAAGACAAAATTGTTATTTTGGTCCCTCAACTTAATTTATTTTCTTAATCTAACGACACCATTTTGGTAGACTTTGACATGTTAGCAAACTATCTAATGAAGGACTAATGTGATAACATAATTAATTGACAACGAACTGAATCAACTTGACATTTGTTTGAAACTTAATTTATTATTTAGCTCGTTATACTTGGTTGAAACTCAATTTATTATTTAGCTCGTTACACTTGGTTCATGAAAACTTGAGCTGAAAATAAGGTTGTTAACTTAATGAGTCAAACTTAAACTAAGTACAATTCGAATAGTTAGGTTAAGGAGCTGACTCAACTATATATATATATATATATATATAGTTGTAGAAAATCTTTAATTTCTCACATTAAATAAATAATGATCATTCAAGTTGAAAACTTAATCAATCTAGTTAATGAGTTGAACTTAACAGTCTACGACCTCTTGATGAAACAAAACAAATTCAAGTTGATGATTCGGATTGAACAATTCGCGAACTTCAGTCGAACCAAATTTGAGCTAGAAACATAACTCGTTTTGAACTCGAGTTGAGTTTCGAGGCAAATAAATCCTTATACAGCGGAACTCTGGATAGACTTGATTCAATTCATTTCTAGCCCTAGTTAAAGGAAATGAAGTAAGCGTGAAATTGAAGAATCAGAACAATATAAATGAATTAAAGGATCAAAATAATATTTTTTTGTACTACTAATGATATTTATTTATTCTATGGGTAAGAAACTAATTCTTTTTTAGGAGGTTGATTGTCTCTCCCATCAAGTGTCGCTTAGAGAAATGATGAAATTGAATATGAGAGCATGTAAGCTCTTCAGGGATTGTAGCAGACCGCTAGTCTTCAAGCTTCTTTCTGTATCAAGTGGACCATAAGCCCAATTCATTGGCATTACTCTTTAATATGGCATAATATTGAATTAGATTCATTGGGTAGAAGGCACAAACTCAGTTATTTTAAAAGAGATATACACATTTCCCTAACTTTGCTCTAATGGGCCAATGAATCAGATAGTGGTCCAGGTATTCCAAATGGACTCCGGAATTGTCAACCTTTAGTTTAATTTTTGTAAACATGGAGATCATCAAAGCATTATGACTTTTGTGTATAAATCTTTACACTATCAGTGTAGTATAGATATTACACTAAAATATGCATAGAAGGAAAAAAAAATGAAATTTAACTTTTAGAAGAATCTGAATTGTTCCAACTTCTGGCAAACACTTAATTTCTGCCAAAACATTTTTGGAGGATCACTTTTACAAACGACCTAAAATGAAAGAAAAAAAAAAGCCGTGTATCATATGCAACTCTTTTTTTTTTCCTGGAAAATGAAAAGAGCTTAAACAACTGGGAATATTATATCATGTTGAAATGAAACTATGAGTATAAGTATGACTCTTTTAATATTACCAATATTTATATCATTAGAGTAAAGTTGTAGGTATAAGAAAATCATATTAGTCTATAGTGAAGGACAAAACTGAAGGTATAATTTTAGCATTATACATACAATAATGAATGACATCATTAAAATCTATAGTAATAGGTAGGTCTAAATACCTTTAGTGATAGACAAAATCCGAAGGTATAGGTTAAAGTTTATACTCGCACTCCTAACAGCCGTCACTAAAAGATATAGTGACATTGAAAATCTATAGGTATAATGATTTAAATATGAGAAACAAAAAAGTCGGTAAGTTTGTTGTGCTACCTATATTTTTTATCTTTTAGGCAAATTTCTTATAGTATGTCTATAGTCTATACCTTAAAATGTTGTTTCAGGTTATGGAAGGAGAATGGTATTCTTGAGGCAGATAAATAGATATATTAGTCTCATTGTAATATGACTAATATCATAAATAAAATCAGAACCTTCGTAAAAGGCCAAAAAAATATATTATCATATTCCATGAAAATATAGCACTTCATTTGAATGGATTTGGCTAGACTGACGTCAAACATTAGGATACATCAGATATATTATTTGGAGAGAAGTCGTTCATGAATGGAGGCCGACAATGACGAAAGAGGACAAATATTTGGTTGAGGTACAAGAACATGACGAAAGATATGGATAAGGATGAAACATTGATGATTGAAGAGAAACTCATGTACTAGAAGCAAATAGAACAAGTTGAGAGCATGTGCTAGATATATTGGACATGTAATTTGTCCTCATATTTTCAATCACAAAATTATAATTCCATAATAAATAAGTAAAAGTATTATTATATATTACCTTTTGTTTAATACTATGTGACACTTTTCAATCTTTAGTAAAGCAAATTGAGGAGTTGCCTTTTAAGATGTTTATAAAGAGAATCTTGCATTAATTTCTCCATTAATGAAGAAGATCCAAATTTGTTTATAAGACAGACATAATTAGATTGATTTTATCTTTTCATGTTTGAAAATTAAAATGTATTAAAATAACAACAAAAAAAGAAGCATAGCTGCACTGAACCCATTAAAAAAAAAAAGTAAAATAGTAAGTTTTTTAAACTTACTCCACATATTAGCCATCAATTTTAGGAAAAATCTAATGGTTTAGATTTACCCACTAATTCCAACCATTGGATTTCCCTAAAATTGTTGGCTAAGATGTGAAATAAATTTAAAAAACTTACTATTAGAGTCAGTAGATCCCCATCTTAAAAAAAAAGACAACACATTAATGTTTTTGATAGCGTAAAAAAAAAGAGAAGAGAATAAAGATAGAGTTTAAGGAGAATAAACTTATTTCTCTCTCTCATTTGAGAAAAGAGAGTCTAAAGGAAAACAAAATAATCTTTAATTTTATTTTATATTTTCCTATTTTCTCAAGAAAGCAAGAGTATACTTTTAATATTACCAAATTATTTATAGTAATTTCTCTCGATTCCATAAGCTAAATGAATAAATTATTACTTAACCATTTCCGTGTAACTCCAAATCTAAGACAGCGAAGGGAATCTTTCGGTTCTTCCCTTTGAATGTAACATGAGCGGAGGTCCTTTCTCCAAGACCAAATCCTACTTTTTGACGCTTTCTTCGGGGAAGTGAAGACCCTAGTTTTTGTGGGGTTTCTTTCTCCATTTTTCTTGTGTTCCTTTTGTCTAATTATGTACCATAAAAAATAATATTAGTATCTCTTTTGTGTTCCTTTTACCAGCTATCCCCTGAGATAATTTTCATTTTCATTTTCATTTGGATCAGTCCATTTTATCTCTCGCATGAGTCATCTGGTCCCCCAATTGCGCTTCCAAGTTCCAACGTAGCATCGGAATCTCTGTTTCGTGTTCATGTTTCATAGTAGCAATTTATTTGAATCTGGCTCCAAAACAGAACTGAACCTGAACATCATTATTGGTTAAATTCACAAGTAATGAAATACTAATTAACAGACAATTTGTGCAGCAGAGAAGAACATGAATCTTCTATGGTAACACACACGCACATACTCTCTCTATTCTCCAAAGAAATGCAAATTTTGGTTAAAAAGGTATAAACTGATACGTGGATAAGGATTACCCCCCCAAATAAATTGAACACCAGTAAAGGATAAATTGCTAAGCGATAGAATAATGAGTAACCACATATAAAAGGATAAAGCATAAGCGCATAAGCTTGAGGGAAAAACAGGATTAACGTCAGGTATAGACAACACTTACAATAGAATCATGTCAAACGCTATATTGCATCTGATATGGGTAAGATTCTTTACCCTTCTGCTTAAACCCTGCAAACAAAAATGTCAGACTATCAATCAATTAATCATATCCAACTTAAAATTTAAAATTAGAAGGAAAAAACTGTAAAAACTATGGGAAAAAATTGTAAGTACAGTGATGACAATGGAAGAGGATAAGGCCCACAGCCTGAAAAAAAGCAAAAGAAAGAAGGAAAAGAAAAGCACAGCACTTTGGTGAGATTGTGGAAGTAGAGCAACATGGCTATAAAATTCTCAACAACACACGCACAGGAAAAAAACAGAGACATCACATACAGTATAGAAAATTGACGAATGAACTCACCATCATCACAAAAATGAAGCCAAAAATGAAATTGGAGGGAAATTCATTAATGGGAAACAAGGATCACAAGCTAAAACCACAATCCTTCTCAACAATTTTACAGTCCCACTCCCTTCATGTCACACATATATACTGGGTCCTTTTCATTTTCTCTCTTCCCATTTTAATTATCATATATATATTTATGATTTATTGAAACTCCTTTTGCCATTTTATCTTAAATGATAACAACTTCTTCTTAATCTTAATAGTTCCATTCCATGATTCCTTTCATCCATAGACAAAATCATATTATATCTCTACTGCTATTGCCAGTGGTTGCTGTTGTGAATCAGATAAATATGGCCAGCGTGGCAAGTCTTCCCTTGACCGTAGCGGGGATGAGGAATATTCCTCTCAATCCCACCAGCTTTTTTCTCCACACCAACTGGATATGCCGCCGTCGGCGATATCTGATGGACACAGCGGTTTATCATAGGCGCCACTGACTTCAAACCAGAAGCGCCACCGGTAGCGCTATGATGTGATGATGACGACGAAGTTGACGAGGAGGTAGAGGATGTGGAGGATGTTGACTTTGATAGAGACGGTGACGGAGTCATGGAAACCTTGTTCAGAAATCTCGGCGGTGAGAGGAATACTCTGACCTTCAACGACGGCGCGTGATCATATTCCTCGATGAGATTTGCGAGATCCTCATCGGAGCTTATGGAAACTAAAGCGTCGAGATCTTCCGCTGGTAACTGACAGCGAAGGTGGCTCACGGAAGTTCCACAAAGTTCTTCCAGTTTCAACAACAATTCTGCACCACAACGCGATTACAGTTATGAAAACGTAATTTCACTCAAATAAGTTGAAAATTTTGAACAGTGAGAAAAAATAGGGTTACGAAAGAGAGAACTGACCGGAAAATGGAATGGTGCGATCAACGGATAGGACGCGGCTGTGGCCGCCGACGTAGCGGAGTTTGCCGTCGGGGTGCCGGGGGAGGATCTTTCCGGCGTAGCTGCAGAGGAATTTGATAGTAGATTTGGGAGCGGGTTTTGAGGAACCGACCATGATGGGTTCGGGTTGAAGAGGGTCCAGTTTTGTAAGTATTGAATGAAGTGATGCTGAGAGAAAAAGGAGCGTTTGTGAAGACGGTTTAGAGTTTGGTGTAGCGCCTTCAAGCCTATCTGTGTGAGCGTCTGTTCCTTATTTATAGGGACTTTATCTAACCTATCTGTGTGAGTGTTTTATTTATTTAACGGTATAAAGTCTCGTTAAATTTAATAATTTATATTTATACTATTAATAAAGTCAAAACAAAAATAATTATCCACTATGATATAATTATTTATTTCCTATTTTGTCATCCTTATATTCTAATTTATACCAAAAAAAACATATAACCTAATGCAAATTATAATAAATTTAACTATAATTATAATATATATAACACAATTCATTTATTGCATGTAGAGCATACGTTACAAATGATAGGAAAGCAGGTTGACGGGCACGGTAGTGCCAATTAACACGTTAGAGAATGACAAAAGTTTAATTCTTGAGTATACATTTACCAAGTGATTAATTATTTTTTCAAAAGAGTGAGAATTCTATTATTAAGAAAAGAAAATGGGAAAAGAAGTATATTTGATATTGAGAGCAAATTATTGGTTTTGTGACTTTGGCCTTGTCTTAAAAGCAATGTCGTAAAAACCTTACTGTACCGGCCGGTTCAATGGTGAATCGGACCCGTAACCAGTACGGTACGTATGTTATATCGCATATGCAATAGAACCGGTCAAAATCGGCCGGTTTGTACATTAATTTTTTTTTTTAAATTTCAAATTTTCAATTCTTCAACTTCAATGATTGATGTTTGTGTCATTTATTTGTATTTTGCGTTTGTTAAGTGATAATTTTGGATTAATATATGTTTTGTACTTTAGACTTTGATTTTGTTAAAGACTTAATGTTGTTTGTTTGTGTGAATTTGGAGTAGTTTATGAATATGAATTATAAATCTGAATATCTACTTATTTGAATTTTTTTGTTATAGGTTTACATATATATATAAACAAGTATGTCCGGTTTAACCGGCATGCGGTTTAATTACTGAACCACTGTACCACTATATCAGTACCCTGACCGGTTTGATAACCGGTACGGTTTTAATAACATTGCTTAAAAGAGAAATAATATATTATTTTATTTAGATGATAAAGTATTACATTCTTATGTTTTTTATATTGTTTTTATGTATTTTTCTCTCAAATGTCGGAGAGAATCTTAAATTTATGATATTTTGTATATTGATAATTGATTCATAATAAATATATGTCACATTTTATATGTATATAATATATTAAAAAAAATGTATAAGGATTTATCATTTCTCAATTTTGGAATGATAAAACTAACAAGTGAGAGAGCTAAATCTTCTAATATTATACAGTATATTGGATTTATTCAAGAAATTAATAATACATTCTCGACAAATATGCCAAATAAAATGCACTATTAAAGATTCAGGGCATGAAAAAATTACTTTTAGCTTTAATTTAGTGTAAACAAAACAATGTTTTCATTAAGTTACTTATAACATGTTTCGTATATTTTCCTATAAAAAAACCTTAATCCGTATTCT